GATTCGGTTAACATGAACACACATTATATCTACCTTATTAAAATGTAATCAATAAACGAAATGACGAAAATCTTTCTCTTTTAACTAAGAAACAAACTAGGCATGTTTTGACACCGGAAACTTTTTTTTATTTTTCCATAAAACCGTCTGTTCTAGATAGTAACAAGAAATGTCGTTCTTCTACTGATATCATGTATAAATCAGGAAAGAATTTCAAGGAGAAGAAGAAGAAAGAGAATATATACTTTTTAGACACATAATCAAGCTTGACATAAGAAAATAGGCGGAGTTTGTATGGTTACGTGTGTGTATGTCTATAGGACTTGGTTGCGTATGTGCGTGATTGTGTGCGACTATAGGTATGCAAGTATGGAAACAGTCAAATGTTATCTTCAATGAAATGTTATACGAATGACAATATATTAAAACTATTTTACGCGGTTAAGTAAAAGATTGTTTGGAGTTTTAGTACAATTAGATAGAAATTGTAGCTAGAGTTCCAACTAAGCTCTGTAATTAATAAATAATCTAATCAAATGGTTCAAAATAAAATGGTAAGTATTTTCTTACTTCTGTTGTAAGCATCTACCTTACTTCCTACTTTAGAACTAGATTTTATTGTGATGTACAGAAAAACTGAAAATATTCTGATGTGGATCCTGAGCGTGATCGAGTTATAGCCTGTAAATGAACTATCGAATTGAGGTAAAACAGGTATTTTTGTTGGTATAGTCAAAATTCGTGAGTCATAACCACTCACTGGAATTTATACGCTATCTGATATGGCTTCATTGAACATAAACTTTGTACAACTTTGAGGTTTTTACCCCAACATTCCTACCACATTCATTTATGGCTATCAGTTTTGATGATAGTATTTCTACATTTTTTACTTTGATTAAAATTCTATAAATTAAATAACAAAATAATAACTGACTAACAATAAACAATGATTAATTCCTAGAAACTTGATTTGATGTTAAATTGTTAGAGCTAATTATCTGATGGCTCGAAAAATAAGTTTCTTACAGTATCAAGGTGGATCTACCACTGTTTGGGTCAGCCAAAATGACAATCAAAGATGTGAACATTGTAATGTTTATATGAAATTATTTGGTTTAAAAGATTTATTGTAAACTTTATCGATAAAGTTTGATGAACTCTATAAATTAGACAATATTATCCATGGTTACAATGTGAACTTGCATGTTGTCCTAAACATCTAAAGATATCATTTACCAATCTGACTACTTAGTAATAATAATAATAATAAACACTCCACCCTTCATCTATGTATGTAATAAAAACTAGCAATATTGCCAATTTGTAGTTTTTTTTTACAATTCAGAACGAATAATTCCCTGCACATGAAATAAACTAACTTTGCTCACGCTTAATTAAGTCAGATTTGAATTAGTTTGTTCATTCGAAATATATATTTTGTTTAAATTAATTGAGAAATAAAATTCAAATGTATCTTATTTGTGTTTTTTTTCCTTCTTCAAAAATCAATAAGATTTAGTTACTAAGATCCATTGTGAATAGGATAAGTTAAATATTACCAGATTAGTAATAACAGTCATAATTTACGAGATATTCATGTATATATAAGACATAGTAACATGTTAAAACCAGTATCAAACAGTAATGTATTTAATGAACCTTTTTTTTCTGTTTTAATCATTTCAACTGTTGATTTAACCGTTTGGAAACCAATATCGACTATTTGTTGACTTAGAACTTCAGCTACTAGTGGTATTATTTTTATTATCAACTTCATATATTTCCATTTTTGCCACACATAATCATACTCATTGTATATTGAATGGAAAAGAATGTTTTGATTGTACAATTATAGCGCTTCATTGAATATAGTCAATTAAAGCAAATTAAATGTTATTTCATTTTTACAAGTTATAAAAACAAATAGAATTATATGAAATGGACAAAGTATCTGAGGGGGGAGGTTGAAGGAATCATTGTAAATCGGAAACCAATGGCAAAATGTTTTGTCTTATGACTAAGAAATCATAAAATCAATTTGAATTTTAAGTATGTATTGCTGATAGACTCAATCCCTGGTCGGATCGTGGATGGTCATGGTTAGAGCATCTCCTACCAGTATAAAGAAATTTCCCTACTGCTATTTGATAACCAACGGTTTCGTAACTGAAGTCAGTTAATGATGTAAAATATCAAATTTTAGATCGACACATGATATAATGAAGAAAATGTATATTTTCTATGATTATGTAATAATAATGATGGGTTTCTTGGAGTTCTAGTGAGAAGCTATTACTAATAAAGTCCAATCCGTATCGGGTGTGAGACAGTTACCCACCTCAGTGAATAGATGGATGGTTGCGCAAGATCATGAATCGACTGAAGTTAGACATTAACACCGTTGGATACTGGTCCAGTGGTCTGGAGGTTGTGTTCGAGGGCGAGACCGAAGGTCCTGGGTTCATGTCTCGTATGCGGGATCTTGTATGGACAATGCTGTGGATTCAACTGTCAAAAAAACTAATCTTCCACAATCAGCTTTTTTAAAAGTAAACCTTTCAAGAATGTTTTTCTAGTATTCATAATTTTGTTAATCAAAATGAACGTAAAATACATTTGTACATGCTCATTTACATTGTTTAACCATACTTCTTTTGAGAAAATAAAATATAATTCTGACTGACTGTACCTGGCATTGCCAACAATTTACAAATCATGTTAGAATTGAATGAATCTTGACTCTACAGCTTAACTTTATATCATCATCCCCAATTTTCAAACAACTTGAACAGGAAATAATGACATCATCTACTTAGAAACCAAGTATAATTTATCGTATGAAAATCATAGATTGATCTGAGTTTGACAGACATTTAAAACCTGGAAGCACTGGATAGGAACTCCTCAGCAGTGTACACCTACGAAACTGTAAGCGAGAGTCGAACCCGGGTCCATCAGTCTTGAGCGCGAACCGAAATCCTGTAAACCGGTATCAAAATGTATTAACGTCTACGTTTAACCAATCCAAATCATTTTACGACCATTTTCTATTGTCTTCGGTGGGTGACTCCCGATACTATTTAGCCTCACTAGTCACGGCTTCTTAATACAACTCTGAGAACTTACTCTCGAAGCTAGTGATTAGTGAGCACATGATAATTATCAGCATGGAGTTGTGTTATTATTTCATTGAATTTATGAATCTATGGTAGTCTAACTTAGATTAGTTCATGATTTCAACGAAATCCAACAATCTCTACAACCTCCTTACTAAAATTTATTGATAAAATTAAGGAATACCAATTAACTACTAACATCCATCTTGTCTCGGTTTCTTGAACTTGAAATGAAGCATCGTTTAAAACAAAAAAAAATGTTTTAAAATTACTTTAAACTACTTGTTCAGTCTTATTTTACTGACATAAAATTATTCCTTAAAATTTGAACTTTGATGTTTTTGGTATCCGTATTTTTCAACACCTTTTGAATCAATAATCCAAGTACACTAAAATGACCTATTGATAGGTAATCGATTACAAGTTAATTTTTTAAAAAAAAACTGAATTTACAACCAAACAACAACAAAAAATGAAAAACATAATTTAAATTTGGTTACTAAGGTTGGATTTATTTTTGACTTGGAGACAAAAAAGTGAGCTCAGCTCAAGTGTAAGTTTATTTGACCCTTTCCTTTTCGAATGCCTACACAGTGAGAGTTTCATGGAGTGATCAAATCATAACTTGTTTAGTAATATCTTACGTAAGAATCTTAGAGTTGTTGACGTTTTATGTTTGGAGATAGTAACTAAATAATGCAATACGATCTATTACGTAATTTGCATGTTTCCAAATCTACTCACAGTTGCGTAATCCATGTAATTTAATAACAGGTGACTATCACTCATCGCTCATGACGGGACTAATTCAAATGAACTGAGATTGATACATATGCATACAGTAGTGTTTGTAGACTATTCAATAGAGAATAATTGAGGTTAACTAAATCCCTTAATATGTGTTCAAAGTTTTGTTCTTAATAGCTACACGACAAGTGTATTTGATGACCATATAAATGAGACATATAGATGTAGTTAATTTTCAATGAATGTTTATGACTCGCAACATCATGATTTGGTCAGCAACTTAAAAGTGTGATCAAATCAACAGTATGAGCAAGGATTACTTTATTAGGTTTTGTCTATTACATCTTAACAAATCTATTATTCAGCTAATCAAATATTTATGCGCCACACCTCATCATTTGATGTGTGTAAGAGCTAGAATACTGTTCGGGCCTACAAACTAAAGCAGGTGATGTTCTTAGGGGGCCACTCTCTGAGCCGTCGGCCTAAGAGTTTGACCTTGAAGACAGTGGAACAATGTTGGGAGACACAGTCCTTTGGTAGCCGGTGACCAACATTAGGTTCATACTCCATTTGCTCACTCAGGATCTCGGAGCCCATATGCAGGATTTTTCAACCCATTTAAAGCACCGGATATTAGCTTTTTGCCCTCTCTCAAATTCCTTTAACTGAGATGTTCTAACTTGTAGCATTTGTTGACAATTCATAAATAAAAACAGTTTCATCTTAGCATGTGACTATTAACATGTGAATATTGAATAAAAATGCTTTTTGAGATTACAAATCGAAGTCATTAGGTAATTGCTTCGCCTTAGTATGTGACTCCTCACTTATGCGCATCACGACTTCGTTACGGATTAAACCGCAGAAATTTAAGTCTCACCACTTGCGCTTAACGTTTTTAATCAACGATTAATATGAAATCGGAAGCATAAATATTATATACATATACAGGCTTAAGTTATAAGCGTTATTAGCAAAGATGGTTTGTGGCTAGCAGTGGGATCCAAGACATACGTTTCGTCCTACTTGGGTCTCGTCATTGGGTGTGTCTGCATCTCAGAGTCCAAAGTGAGCATCTTTGCTTATAGTACTAGTGTCTTAAATTATTATTTAAAAATTTCATTAACTCACTATTTTCACAATTTTTGTCAATTAAATCATCGTCATTATTGGCTTTCAACATATTTGATGTTTCATATAAATTATTAACAGATTTATTTTTATTTATATCTTCTTGTGATCTTGTATTAAAATCATAATTGTTTGTTGATTTTCGTTTTAAATTTTTCTGGTTACAATGATTATTATGAACATTATCGGCAGGAGTATCCGAAAGAGATGATGTAATCACAGACGATACGGTAGAAAAGGCATTTTTAACAGTTGTAGTTGTTAGAGTTATACATGGTGCATTGACATTATTACTATTCACATGAGATGAAAATAAAGCATTACTTGTGTGTAAATTAGTAGTGTTTGTAGTCATGGTAACTAATGGTGAAGATGATGGAATTGATATCTGAGATTCAGTCATAAATGAAGGGAATGTATTTGAAAATCTTGATTCTGACATGATGCTTGATTCGCCTTGATTATGTTGTTGATGATGGTAATAATGAGATGGTGTACCAGTAGGTGAATAGGGTGGGAAAATTGACAAATTATATGTAGGATTATTTGAAGGATGTGAATATCGCAATGTTGTATTGCACATATATCGATCATAATAATTCGATAAATGAATATTATTATCATTAGTAGTAGTAATAGTAGCATTAGTAGAGTTATAAGTAGTACTTGTATTATGATGATGAGACGAATGATAAGGAAATATTGGATAAGAATTGAGTTTATGCCAAAAATTATAATTTGAAACATTTGTTACATGTTCTAACGAATTATTATGCATTGATTGTGTATGAATATTATCATTTACATTGAATTGACGATTCATATCATAATTTATTTCATTATTTTCAGCACGTAGATCACATGGTATAATAGAATTGGTACTATTACAATTTCTAGATGAATCATATTCATTTATATGTTGTACATTATCTAATTTTAAACGTTTCATTGACATTTCATTAGATAATTGATTTAAAGGTTTTGATTCATGAATTGATGAAAAATTATTCAATTGTTCTATTTGTGAATTTAATTGTTCATTGAATATAGGTGTTGTTGTTGTTGCTGTTGTCGTTGTTGATGAATCATTATTAGAATTATAATGAAAGAATGAACTAGCAACTGGATATGATAATTTGGATGTATTATTATTATTAATTTGTGAATAATAATTTGCATACATTGGATTAGTATTCATTAATTTAGAAAATCCCAAATCCATTTTGTTTTAGTGTATTTTTATAAAATAGATCATATTTATATTCCTTGAATAAACAATTTTAGTCAATTTAATCTGGTAAATATGGAATTTCTATTTAATTAATAATAAAAATAAATTTTTTTAATTATATCAATATAAACCTTATTAAGTTTATGAAAAAAAACATTTTTTCAGCCAATCATATATCTTGAAATTAATTAACCAATAGGAATATTCCTTTATTTTGTATCGCGTTAAATCGATTCATCCTATTGGTTGATTTGATTTTTTATATCTCCCTTACATGAAATATTTAATATAGTGATTGAATATCATCTGTGAATATTTAAATATTATTTTTGTATAGATGATGATATATATACAACAGATTGTTGACATCAAAGAAAATATATATATAATGAACATTCACAATTATTGATAGGTCCTGGGTTCGAATCTCTCAAGGCGGGATCACAGATGCGCACTGCTGAGAAGTTTCATACTAGGTTTTCCATGGTGGTCTAGCTTCAACTGACTAACAAATTTAACTATGAAATCTATAAATGAATTGAGAGTGGACTCTGAACATTGAAGTTTCAATGAGTAAATAAGTTATTTTATTATAATTTTTTTTGAGTAATATCTTGGAAATACATTTAATATTATAATATCCTACTGTTTTCTATTTTAAGATTGTATACTCAGATGTAAGTAATTTGGCGGGTTAGCGTTTTATTTAGCGAGTTTGCTTTCTACGGGATGGAGTGGCTAACCCCATGCCCAACCCTCCTCCTTTATCCAGGCTTGGGACCGGCAGTAGCCCCCGGAGGGACTCCAGGCGGACGTACGTAAGTAAGTTACGTTAGACTAAATAACAAGTTTTCACACTAAACGATATTAAAATTATATTCTTTATGAACTAAGATTCCAAGAGCATAAAAATAATAATAATAGTAAACACTATTTAACTGATCAATAATGAAAAACTAAATATTGTCCAAAAATCAACACCTCTTTGATCATAAATCATGAAATGAGCGAATTTGGATTAATCAAGCAATTCAGGTGAAATTTAGTGAAAATTTAAGGTCAAAACAATACATGGTACACATACATAGATAGATATTCACATAATATTGATAAAATATGACGTTGACAGTGAAATATCTAAATGATAATATTTAATAATTTATTCATTATAAATTTATTACTCCCCTTGTTACGTATTGATTTTTTCTGACTTAACAAAAATTTAATAGTTGAGTTCATGAGTCAAATGAAGCTAGACCACCATGGAAAATCTGGAAGCACTGGACGGTCGTTTCGTCCTAGAGAGAGACTCGTCAGTAGTACGAACCTACGATCCAACGAAAATTAGCAATACCAACAATTGATTTCAAGTGATCATTTAAAATGACAATCATTAGGCACTAAACACAGAATTATCTATCTATCTCTCCACGTATAATTTTGTCAGTCTTTCTTCTTTGATATTTTTAATTGAAGAATCAAATCATCTGTGATTTTGCTCAAGTAATCTATGATATTATTTTATCAATCACTTGGTAACCGTTTTTTATTTCATATTCTTAATAATGGAAATAGTAATCTATTAAGATTGTACTCTGTAATATCTACCATTTTGTGATCATTGTCATCAAAAAATTACCGATTTCATCAAATTACCCATATGATGTTGTATACTGGAATCGTGTAAGATATATTTTTTAATATTAGGTATTTGGAGGTTGTAAATGTGTTATATGCATCTTATTGACACTTATCACATCAGTTTATATTCAAACATTAATTTCGAATCATTCATCTATTCATACTTGATTTAGTCTTTTTTAGGAATGAACAATTGGATGTTAAAGGTGATTCGATTCATTTTCGTTCGATAAATTTTCCCTTTGTTATCCATTTCACAATTCCTTGTTTATATACATTTTATAAAAAATCTTATGATTGGATATAGTCAACAATTGGCTATGAGTTAGTAGAGGTTATGGATTAGTGACCTATAATCTTCCAGCCGAAAATAACTACTATTGATAGTGTACCACAATGGTGAATTACACATAATTAAACATACTGAAAACTAGTAAGATAGTCGCACGAGGTCGTGGATTGTTTGAGGTTTGATATTAACACTGTCGATTACCGACTTAGTGGTCTACAGGTTAAGCGCTCGCGCGCAAGAACGAAGATCCTGGATTAGATTCTCGCGTGCGGAACTGTTTATGTACACTGCTGAATAGTTCCATACTGGAACAAAACGATCATCTAATGTTTTCAGGTTTCGAATGGTCGTCCAACTTAGATCAATTTATGATCTAAATAAATTGCATACCACTAAGTGTGATAATTTGTTAACAACTGATTCGTTTAACGTTTTCATTGTATTTAGGTGACAGAATGAAGAATTCAACTGATCTTTTATCATAACCTAGTTGAATCATCACACTAATGGTTGACTTTGATATAGATATACAATTATGAATAATATTATCTTGTCTAGTTTTAATCAGTTGATATCACAGTATTAATAAAAAAGTAAAATCAAGTTGGAGTAAAAATTGATCAGTATGTTTATGTAAATATGTGTTCTCATTGTAAGTTATTGACTAATTGATAGAAAATACTACTCATTTCAAACGAAACAGCCGTCTAGTGCTTCCAGATTTTCAATGGTGGTCTAGCTTCAACTGACTCATGATTTCAATCTGTGAAAATTTCTAAAAATCTGCACAAAACACATTCTGATCAAATGATATAAGTCTGATTGTTAAAATGTAGTGTATTCAGACATAGTTTTGTTCATTTTGACCATTAAATAAACCTATATCAAGAGTCTTTGTTTTCTTACGACACATTTACGCATTCAGAATCCCAGTACAATATACAAGACAGTTAAGTATTCATAATAGTGACAGAAATAACATTACTAATTTACAGTTTAAACAATCAACATTGATGAACTCAACAAAAAAATTATCATTGTAGATGAGAAAAAAAATGAACTAGTGATCAACTTGATGTTGTTATAGCAACTGACAATATAACACATTAGTCATGTAATTTCTTATGGATACATACATTAGTAAATACACATATACACAAATAAGTAAATAAATGTTGACTTGTTCACACCAACGAATTTCAGTAGTCAACTAATTCTTCTTTTTTTTTAATATAAGAAACAATAGTAATGTTTGTATTTTTATAAAAAGAGATATTGTTTAATATAGCGTTATTTTTATTCATGCAGTTTGTAAGCATATGCGTGTATGTTTATGTGTCAATGAAAGAGTGAAAGTGAAATTATGGTTAAGTAAATCTGCATGTACATCATTGTTAGTTTATAACAAATGACACCATCAATAATAATCAAAAAATCACGTAAGATTAAGTTTAATTAAACAATGTGCTAATTTGTATGTTTATAAATGTTGACATGTAGATATACATGTGAACGAGTGCTTGGAATCGTATGATTTTATTAAGAAAAAAATAATTTGAATATTGTACAGTTAGATAGTTCATGTTGATAGTTATTCTATGGTTTCATCTGGAAGAATAGAAAAGATCAAATTAGCAAGTTCATTCTAGGTTAAAGACTATTCAATAAGCTTACAGCAAACACTGCATAGACATTCACTGAAATTAATTAAATCTTTTTGATTGAGATCATCAATTGATTAACATTAGACCAAAGATGGAAACCTGGAAGTACTGAACAGTCGTTTCTTCCTATTAAGGAACTTCTCAGTACTACGCATCCACGATCCCGCTTGCGGGGTTCGAACCCAGGTCTTTTAGTCTCGCGTGCGAACGCTTAACCTACTGGACCACTGAGCCGGCATTCAATGGTGTTAGTGTCTAACATCAACCAATTCACGAAGTTGAGCGAACATCTTCCATTGTACTGAGGTAGATAATTGTCCCTACCCGACACGGATTAGCTCATTAGAACTCCGAGAATTCCCTCATAAAGTTAATCGGCAGTGAGGACATGTTAATTACCAGTATAGGGGTTGTCGAGATTATTAAGTTTTTGATTGAGATAATGAACTGATTGATGTTGGACCACCGTTGGAAATTTGGAGGCATTGGACGGCCGTCTCGTCCTAATGTGGGACTCCTCAGCAGTTCATAATAGATATTGTCATTGATTAACCATTGAATACTAACTAGTGTCACGTTGATGAAGTCTTTTTCTAAAATGTTTGAATTCTATCAATCAATTTTTATTGTGGTCACTAATCTATGTGAATTAGCCAACACCATATAAGTTAAATCCTTCAAAATTTCATGAAATCTAAGTTAAGTAACGTAATTTACTGACTAGCTCTACCAATCTGACAAAAATACTCCCTTATGATTAGTATATCTGGTGGGACTATAATTTATGGACAAACCAATCGGACACAATATAACAAGTTTTGGATCATGGCGCGAATTTTTTCGTCCATTTGGTTAAAAATCGTGGTGAAAACCTTAAATCTAGTTCCTAACCCTAACCACCAATTGTAGATCATAATTTTAATTCTTCACATTGCTTTATAACCCTCATTTAGTCTTAGTTAGTAGGTGACTATTCTCAAGGTCATTTTAGCGTCGCTCAAAGGTTGGCCATAACTTATAGTCTTACCATATATTACTAATATTCTATATTCTACATTTATTCCTATGCTACAATTCTCATCAACTACAATATATCTTTGATTAGTGTATCGATCAATAATAATCACATATATTTCATAAAGATTCATTCTTTCATAATTGAATAACAAGTCATCAATATTGAATGAACATTGGATCATCTGACTGTCACTTGTTATTTATTTTAATTCTTGATTTTCACAATACATTTTCAACTTATGTTCTTCGTTTGTAAAAAAATTTGATATCCTCAGACCACTGTTCGTTTGTTTGTTACTGGGACATTATGATGGTGATTGACATTTTCAGTTATATTCTATTGACTTCCTGTTAATTAGGATCCGGTTGTAAGGCGT